GAAAGTGATTTATCTTCAGGTCTCTTTTCGTTGAATTCTTTTCGTTGAAGTATTTTCAATATTTCTTTAGGTGATACCATTTGTGTTGATTCATTTTCTGTGATAAGTAATAGAGAATTATCCATTTCATCGGTACCTCGAACAGTTATAAAGTTGCAATGGTAATTAGTTGGTTTCTCTGCGCATAATGTAGACCATCCTAGACCATTACGCTCTGCCCAAGGTGATATAGGTCCGTCTGGTGGAATTACTTCTCGTGGAGATACGGCAAGTGGGACATTCCTTCCTAACATAATTACTATCTTTGCGACAGTAATGTCTGGTATGTCTGGTATTATTCTATGAAGGTAAGGAAAAGACTCGGCTGCTTCCTTTGTCGGTATTTGTCGTCTATCGATTGGTAGAGTATGTCTTGTAAAACAGCTAGGAATAGGAAATATTTCATCCTTCTTAAGGTTAAGAACTTCCAAATCAGTTATCTTCTCAGATATAATCTCATTCTGTCCATGCATGGTTGTGAGTTTAATAGAAATCGGTAGTCCACTCCATCCTTGTTCTGTTGAGAATTCATCTTCTATAAAGCAGGAGTCTGATTCAGTGTCGGAATATATGTAAGCTGGTATTAACTTATCTGGTCGTGATCGATGTCGTATATAACCCAAATTAAGATGAGCAAAGTTATAGTCAGTAGTAGTAGTATTACTAGTTAGATGGGTTGTGGAACTTGTCAAATTCGTGGTCATCTTTGGCAATGTTTTTGTTGTCGATCTAACTGGTTCAGATTGGGTGAATGCAGGTGCTGTAGGATTAAATATTGACGTATTTCTTTCGATGTGGAATAGTGAGATGTGTCCAAGTTGCTTGCAAATTCCACAGGTCTTCCAGTTAGTGTTCGGGCAATCTTTAGCTTCGTGTCCTTTAAAGGTACATCTAGAACACATATTTCTCTTTTGTAGAAATTCCTTTTTCTCTGCAATTGGTTTCTTGCCGAACACAGTGCAGTGTTCCAGCCAATGATCACCTTTACAATAGAGACATTTGGGTGTAGGCTTAGTTAACTTCATGGAGTTAGAATTTGTAGTATGCCCATTAGTCTTCGTTGTATTTCCAGTAGCTCTAATTTTTCTAGTGTTATCAGATTTCGATGAAGATATAGGTAACTTTTTATCAGGTAGAGTTGCACCAAATATAGGATCACCCATAGCTCTAGCTTTCTTTCTTACGAATTCTGCAAAATAGTCGAAGGTGGGCCCCTTTTTCTTGTTTCGAAAAATATGTTGAATATCTTCACAAAATTTACTTCTCATTCCCCATGGTAGGAGTTCTAAGGCTTCCTTAATAGTTGATTCGTCGTTTAATTTTCCTACATAGCCTAATCCCTTTAATGATTCTGAGCAATTCTCAAGAAAGTTGACAAATGATCTCATAGCTTTTGCGTCGCTGGATTTTATCTTAGGCCAAGATTGTAGCTTGTTGACAAATGTTTCACAAATGATGACAGGATTTCCGAATTCTTCTTCTAATTTTTGCATGGCTTTTCTAAAATTTGCCATTGTTGGTAGATGAAGTTTGCTTTCGATCAGTGCAAAAGCCTCACCTGCAGTGTATTCAGCTAAAAACCCCATTAATTCTTCAGGGTCATTATTCTTCTTCTCAAAACAAACTCTGAATGAACTTCTCCATTTTTGATAGTTAATTGGTTCACCATTAAATACAATAGGCTTCATGTCAGTAATGTTGCTCTCATATAGAATTTTATCAAGTGTCTTTATATCACTGGATGTGTCTGATCTCAGTATAGTTGTAGGAGTTACATCATAAGTTTGCATCAAAGGTGAAGAAGTGTGTGGGTAAGAGTCTTCAGATCTATTTTGTGATTTGTCTTCATTATTCAACAGCTGGTCTACTGTTAAATTTTCTGCATCTAACATTATTTTAGCTGTAGCTACTTTCTTTTCTAATGATAGCCTTCTTACATATTGGTCTTGCTTTAATTTAAACATTTCTGCTTCTTGTCTGGCTTGCTCTACTTGCACTTTCTAAAACTTTAGCATCTACTATAGCTTTCTTCTGTCTCTCTTCTTTAATGTTGTGTGAGTATTGTGATCTATCTGATTTTCTACTAGATAATGAGTGATTATCATCAAACTGTAGGCCTAATAGTTCTTTTTTGATATTAATGTTTCTCTTGAATTTCATCAACTTTTCTACTGTACTTTCATATTCTGTTACAAATATATCAGGAATATCTTCTCCTTCTTGATAAACGGTTCTATTTCATTAAAGGCCTCAGTAAATTCTATCATAAGTTTTTTCAGGTCTTTATAATTCATCTGATTAAATGCTGGTACATTTCCAATAAACTGTAATATGCTTTCTCTAGAAGTTGTAAAATGTATCTGAGTCTGTAGTATTTGTGATCTCTTTCTTCTCTCAGACGAAGTTAGACTTCTATTATCAGTTCTATCAATAGTAAGCCCACTTTCTGGTAGTTTTGATTGTTTAATGTCGTCCAGATTAGTTTTGTTTTCATCTGGATCAGTTCCATTTGGTTGATTTGTCGGTTGTCCCAGAGCTCCTTGTTCTGACATAATATTAGGCCTAGTCTCTAGACCGGGAATTCAATTCTTCGTAAATGGCTGTAATGTTCTAGTTTGGTTGGGGGTGTCAGTGAAAACTGTTAAAGCTTCGTCTAAAACTGCAAGTGTCGGTGTCGGGATGCCAACCAGGATCCAAAAAGCCGTTTCGTGGAATGACGTCTAAATAGATGTCTAAATAGAGGGTCTACGCACTGGATTTATTTGGTGATGATAAATAACTATGATGAAGTTTTTCAAATTCATATACCAGTCGTTTTCTACAAAATACAGAAAAATAAACAAATGTCAGATTATATGAAAGTCTGATTTGAATTGCCACGAATGTAAGCTACATTATGCGGTACTTGAATATATAGGTCAAACGGTTTTCATCAAACTTGTTTTATTGAGATTAGATTAACACCAGATATTGTCATTTCAAATTCAACTAAATTAGATTAGAAGTGCCAAAGAAATGAAAAAATATTTTCAAATTCACTATTCACAAATTTCACTAGGTCAAGGCTTAGAAAGGAGACGAGATATTAAGCTAGAGAATTGAACTTTGGAAACTGAACATAACTTTTAAATACTAATAGCAGTGTGTGAAAGTTCAGCTTTCTGAGAGCATATTCTTGAGTTGGAAGAAATGCGTGTGAAATCAGGCTATAAAAATGTTATTTTTTAACTTTAACAGCTGAAACTTGACCTGTACACTTATTTAAAGAGACCGTAGCAGCAACAGACCTTAAAATAGAATTTTAAAATATAATAAATAAAGTCAATGAAGCAATGCTGGGCTGGAAAAAAGGGAAAATGTCTGTAGTTAGAAAGAGAAAATAGTACCGAGAATATCACAAGGACTTTGAAATTGAGCATAATAATTATTTCGAAGAAATTTTAACCGTTACAATTTATTTAGAGCTTTTTTTCTAATTTAGAAAAGTAAAGCAGTAAAATAGCAGTCAAATGGCCAAACTGGCTGACAGGTTTCGATTGATTTTTAGACTGTTTCCTTTTGAAAAACATTGAATTCGGTTAAAAAAAAAAAACACTTAATTTGCAAATTTTAGTTCACTGTTCAAAACCCCTTATCTAGGAGATGGATGAGAAGTTATTTAGACCATTTTGACTCTCAAAATGCCATTTTATTGATTTCATTAGGGTTAGACAGGATGGTCAGTTGCATTAAGAGTCTTCTTTAAGGTATAACGGGGTGACAGCCAACAATGGATTGATTCTCAGAAAAAACTGCTAGATTCAGGATAGGAAACAGATTGGTAGCATAAAAAAAACGTCCCGGATGCCGCATACGGAACCGTATCTGCATATAAGGAAACACCCTTACTTATTTTAATGAAAGTGATTTTTGCCGTATCCGCATTCGGACCGGATCCGTACTTAAGGAAACGCAGAGGTATCAGTTTATAGACCTTATTCACGCCTCGTTTTTGTGACACTGAAATCGAGGTTCATAACGCAAATTACGTCATCCATTGAAAAGATGGCGACGTAAATGAAGGAATAGCCTTTTGTAAAATATGATTAGTTTTGAGTTAGTGGGATTAGAGAAGGAGGCGACAATGCGCTCAAGGTGGAGAATTTATGCAGTGACACAACGTTACCTATTTTATTATGAGCTTCGTTCTGGATTCAATTTGGTCGACGCGTGAATAAGGTATATTTCTTAAATAATAATAGATTTAATCCCCAATTGTCCAAATTTTTTCAGATCCTAACAGATTGATCAATTCCTCGAATTTAAATTAAAGCACTTAATTGTAGAATTATTGCACGGACAAGGGCAATAACTCATACTCAATATTTTGATTTTTCTCATTTTCAATAAGGTTCATCTTTGGGTGATTATAAACACACATACCAAGTTTCTTCAAAATCCGCCAAGAATTCCACCTTCTAGAGTGTTTACGAACAATTGTGGACGGACGGACGGACATGGGTGACGCCAATATACGCCTCCCATTTGATGTTGGCGTATAAAAACCCTTCTTCGAAAAGAAAAAAGGAAAATTTTCCTCGCCTTCTCCCTTTGATATCACCTTTATTATACTCGCTTTCTCCCTTTGATATCGCCTTTATTATACTCGCTTTCTCCCTTTGATATCGCCTTTATTATACTCGCTTTCTCCATTTGATATCGCCTTTATTATACTCGCTTTCTCGCCTTATTTCTCACCTTTTTTCCTCGCTTTCTCGTAGTCGTGAGCCACAGCCGGCTTCCAAACATATTGTATTTTCTTGTTAAAAATGAACGCCTGCCTTTTGTTAACATGATGTTAACATAGAAATTAAAACTTTAAAAGTCACCTGCCGGGAAAACCTATTCAGAGATGGAAGCCCAGCCATCTAAGGAGGTGTCGTTTCTATATCGATAGAACCCTAGATTCGTCAAGATCGAGTTTAAAAGAATTTTGAGGGAGACGTTATAAGAATACTGAAAGAGGAATTATTGCCGTATTTAGACAATGTATCAGACGAAAACCACATAGAATATAATGACGTGACAATACACCACATAGAATATAATGACGTGACAATAAACCACATAGAATATAATGACGTGACAATAAACCACATAGAATATAATGACGTGACAACACACCACATAGAATATAATGACGTGACAATACACCACATAGAATATAATGACGTGACAATACACCACATAGAATATAATGACGTGACAATACACCACGTAGAATATAATGACGTGACAATACACCACATAGAATTTAATGACGTGACAATACACCACATAGAATATAATGACGTGACAATACCCCACATAGAATATAATGACGTGACAATACACCACGTAGAATATAATGACGTGACAATACACCACATAGAATATAATGACGTGACAATACACCACGTAGAATATAATGACGTGACAATACACCACATAGAATATAATGACGTGACAATACACCACGTAGAATATAATGACGTGACAATACCCCACATAGAATATAATGACGTGACAATACACCACGTAGAATATAATGACGTGACAATACACCACATAGAATATAATGACGTGACAATACACCACATAGAATATAATGACGTGACAATACACCACATAGAATATAATGACGTGACAATACACCACGTAGATAATTCTTAAAGGAACAGTATGCAAAATCTTTATTATCAAAAAAGTTTTAATTTATAATATTTCTAAAATTTGCTATTTACACCTATATATTTACCGGTACTTGATCAAACTGAATTTGTTTTAAAAGGGTTAGATAAAAACGGAGAGTACTAATTGTTATTTAAGCTGTTTTTACCTAGTTCTAGTGTTGGGCTTCATAGAGATTCGATATTTTCAGTTTTTGAATACGTAGGAGACGTCTATGACGAGGATATATAGTCGGAGATTGCATTTTCTATTATACGAAGCTTTCCAATTCTTTCAGGGGAGATAACTACAATTAAGCATATTCGGTCTTAACAACCGAATCAAATTGGCAGCCCCCACAATTTTTGTCAGTTTATATTTTGATATTTGTATTCACGGATGTTATATTTATTGATTTTTCGGGCACAGAATTAAAATTCAAAGACAATGTCATAATAACTGAATTATTTTAACTTAATTGTATAGATTTACAACAGATCAGATTCAATAGCCACTGTAGACTTGGTCAATTACAAAGATATTAAGTCCAGGCTGATGAAGCTGTACGTAGACAAAGAAGGACTGGATGAAAGAGGCTACGGCTAAATGCGCTATTTACCGACCGATTCGAATGAACTTCTACACCATACTTGAAACATATTAGAACGTACATACTTTGAAGTTTCAAAACGCTGTCTAATCTAAAAATCGATATATAACAAAAGCAGTAAAGCATACGATATAATGTGAAATATTTTAAAATGCGTGGCAAATAATTCACTGACAAAGTTACGATGAAACTTTAAAAAAGAACATTTCGATGTTATTTCTAGTTTATATATGTATCTGTAAGTACTAAGTAAGGAATGATCCAACTTACAAATATTTGTCACGCAAAATTTACGTCGCAAATGGCCTTTTTGAATGGTTCAAGACTATTTGCCTCGTAGTGGTAAATAACCCCAGCCACTGTATACGAAATGTTTTTAATCATAAGAGAAGATATGATTTAGAACATGATGGTAAATAGTGTATTTGATTGAATTCAGCTTCTTGCTTGTATGTTGCTTTTTTTTAACTTTTTAAGTTGAAAGTTGAAAGCTTATTCTATTGTAAAATGATGCAACATTAATTCCATTATCATAAATATAAATATAGATTTAGAGTCAGTTTCCTAAACTTATTGATATTTATTTTGATCACAACTTCAGCCGGACAGAGGATGTATCAACAATTCCTAATCAAAACATTATCAAAATACGAAAACAAGTACCCTATCTGGAGCAAATTTTGATTCTCTTTTACAATACACATTTTCAAACGTATATCGAATATTGGTCTCCAATATGGGACTCGGCTATCAACGAGTAGACTTGTAATACAACAAAATAAAGCTTTCAAAACTGAGCGTTATCCCAAGATGTAGTAAATTACATCGTTTCATTTTCAAATATATCTTTTATCTTAACATCCTAAGGCAAACGATGTCCACAGTATCGTTTAAGATTTATTCTTATAAATATTATTATATATTATTATTTATTATTATTTATGATTTATCATTGTTTATTATTATTTATCATTATTGATTATTATTATATATTATTATTTATTATTTATTATTTATCATTATTATATATTATATATTTTTATTTATTTTTTTATCATTGTTTATTATACAATGGTTCTACCATTTGAATTACTCAGTCAGAGGTCACATTTCTGGGTTTTTGGTTCATGAGAGTAAATCGGCTGCTCTAACTTTTAATTCTATTTGTAAATCAGAAGAAATTCCCATATGGACCAAATTTTTTCACGATTTTGATGATTTTGGTCTATGATAGAAAATCAGTATCAATTTTTGAAGGTGTTTTATATAAGTAAACAGACTAATTTAGTAAAATACTATAATAATCTGGTGTATATCATTAATATTTTCTATCGTTTCATTAAAAAGTGCAGTTAAAATAAGTGACTAACCATGTATTTTGTTCTAGCAGTTTATTACATACAGTTAACCGACAGAATTAAATATTGACTCAGCTAATAAAGCAATTATTTTCATTTTTCCCATGTCAAGTTTCAAAATAAACCATAGGCTTGCTGGCTTTTATTTCTTTTATTAAAAAATGCCAAAATATAACTTATTTAGAGTAAATATACAAGATCCACCACTAGAGTAAATATACTAAATACACCACTAGAGTAAATATACTAGATACACCACTAGAGTAAATATACAAGATACACCACTAGAGTAAATATACAAGATACACCACTAGAGTAAATATGCAAGATACACCACTAGAGTAAATATACAAGATACACTACTAGAGTAAATATACAAGATACACCACTAGAGTAAATATGCAAGATACACCACTAGAGTAAATATACAAGATACACTACTAGAGTAAATATACAAGATACACTACTAAAGTAAATATGCAAGATACACCACTAGAGTAAATATACAAGATACACTACTAGAGTAAATATACAAGATACACTACTAGAGTAAATATACTAAATACACCACTAGAGTAAATATACTAGATACACCACTAGAGTAAATATACTAGATACACCACTAGAGTAAATATACAAGATACACCACTAGAGTAAATATGCAAGATACACCACTAGAGTAAATATACAAGATACACTACTAGAGTAAATATACAAGATACACCACTAGAGTAAATATGCAAGATACACCACTAGAGTAAATATACAAGATACACTACTAGAGTAAATATACAAGATACACTACTAAAGTAAATATGCAAGATACACCACTAGAGTAAATATACAAGATACACTACTAGAGTAAATATACAAGATACACTACTAGAATAAATATACAAGATACACTACTAGAGTAAATATGCAAGATACACTCAAAGAGTAAATATACAAGATATACTACCGGAGTAAATATACAAGATACACTACTAGAGTAAATATGCAAGATACACCACTAGAGTAAATATACAAGATACACTACTAGAGTAAATATACAAGATACACCACTAGAGTAAATATGCAAGATACACCACTAGAGTAAATATACAAGATACACTACTAGAGTAAATATACAAGATACACCACTAGAGTAAATATACAAGATACACCACTAGAGTAAATATACAAGATACACCACTAGAGTAAATATACAAGATACACTACTAGAGTAAATATACAAGATACACTACTAGAGTAAATATACAAGATACACCACTAGAGTAAATATACAAGATACACTACTAGAGTAAATATACAAGATACACTACTAGAGTAAATATACAAGATACACTACTAGAGTAAATATACAAGATACACCACTAGAGTAAATATACAAGATACACTACTAGAGTAAATATGCAAGATACACTCAAAGAGTAAATATACAAGATATACTACCGGAGTAAATATACAAGATACACTACTAGAGTAAATATACAAATACACTACTAGAGTAAATATACAAGATACACTACCAGAGTAAATATACAAGATACACCACTATAGTAAATATACAAGATACACTACTAGAGTAAATATACAATATACACTACTAGAGTAAATATACAAGATACACTACTAGAGTAAATATACAAGATACACCACTATAGTAAATATACAAGATACACTACTAGAGTAAATATACAAGATACACTACGAGAGTAAATATACAAGATACACTACTAGAGTAAATATACAAGATACACCACTATAGTAAATATACAAGATACACTACTAGAGTAAATATACAAGATACACTACTAGAGTAAATATACAAGATACACCACTATAGTAAATATACAAGATACACTACTAGAGTAAATATACAAGATACACCACTAGAGTAAATATACAAGATACATCACTAGAGTAAATATACAAGATACACTACCAGAGTAAATATACAAGATTTACTACTAGAGTAAATGTACAAATTACACTACTAGTTCGGAGGGGTAACTAATATATTCGGAGGGGAAATGGTATGATGGAATTTGTCAGTTGTTCGAATTTATCCCCACAAGCCCTAGTCGGTCTGCTTATTAAGCCAGCCAGCCGCCGCCCCTCTGGTGGATATGACAACAACCGTTCCAAATTCTCACTCACTGAATTCCTTCATCAAGTGTGCCAGAGGAAAATATGTTTTCTATTACAGGTTTAATTATGAATGCCAAACGAAGCTCACTTGTTGATCATGATATTCTTTGTTCTATATAACATCAACTAATACCATGACTTATAATTCTTTGCTGTGGACTGGTTAGTAAAGATAAATCGGTGCATTTTGGTTTGAAGCATGGACATGTATGTTGAAAACGAGTCCCTCACAATGTTAAGTATTTGGATATCGATATCGTTGTCTGTAATTCTAGAATTTTGAGGCTCATTTATGAAAAACTTTCCACTTGTCTTGAAGTTGTATTCTACTTGATCTGGATTAAAATGTTGATATTCAGCAAACAGTTTAGTAATTTGCATTAGCAGTCTACGATTCTTGGTCAGTATTAGTCGGAGATAATCACCCATCTAGTATTAGTGGCACTTAGTGCGAATTTCTTTTCTCTCAAAGTTGCTGTCAAGCCAGTCACAGCCACCAAATGTGTTAGCTTAGTTGTAGCCAGCTGATAAAACCCCATAGCCAGCCGAATTTTGGCAAACTGGCAAACTGGCTCGCTCACGGGTCAAGTTATGACTAAATCCGCCTGTAACTTACACAGGCTCCAGACTTCCAGTAAGCTACTACGTTAATGTTCAGCAGACTCGGTATTGGTGGAATTCAGCCTGAAAAAACAATTCTGTAAAATTCCTCCTCTTTTATCCCCATTATGTAATTATCCACCTTCACTTCATTAAAATATATTTTTTTACATAAAAACATCAGAATGATGACGACATTTTAATTTACTCCATCCTTCATTTGTGAGCACGACAGTTTTTGTCATATTTTCATTAACAGAGAAAAGTTTATTACTCCCACCACCGCCAAAATCAAATAAATAAATGTCCATCTTTTCAAGTTGGCATTGATATGAAAAACAACCCTTTTTACATTCTTATAATCTATTAACCTCAATAGGAGAGAATTAAATAAAAACATCAGAATGATGACGACATCTTCAGATCTTTAGATGTACATTCTTATAATCTAAAAACCTCAATAGAAGAGAATTTGACCTCATTTATGAAACATTGAAAATCTTCCACGAGGTTTGTTTCAGTTTCAGAATTTAAAATATTTCATAATTCATATATATTTTTTTATATATTTCAAAAAGCCCCCAATCTCTTGTCAACTGGACGGAGTTGTAAGACACAATACTATCCTTGTGGAATTCATTTTCCTGGATAGATGCCTATTAAAACACCTTTTTAGACATTTGGATATTTAATCATAACAAGTTAAGTAAAAGTAAACAGTGTAAAATCTACGGAGTGTGAAACATGACATAACGTAATGAACTATTTGGAGAGATATTTCTTCAAGGTAATACATACTGTATATAGAAAGATCTCAGAGGCCTGGGTATTTCACATCACTCGTTCTTTTATACCCAACACAGTCCCGGGTTCAATTTCTGACATTTTCTTATTTGGTATAGAGTTGAGTTTTTGGTTTATGGGAGAAACTCGGCATCAACAACTCACTCGAAATTCAAATTCAAGAATTCAAAAACATGTCGTATTTGAGTTTCCGTATATATCATATATTTTCTATTTAAAAAGTGTTGTTAAAATATGTGACTAATATTTACTAGACCAGTATTTAACATACAGTTAAAGACAGAATTAATGATAGTTATACAATACCAGATCAGTATATTACATACAGTTGACAGACAGAATTAATGATAGTTATGAAATTCAATCTATAAGTTCAGCTAGTGTAGCAATTATTTCAATTTTTCTCCTTTTCAAATTTTAAATTAATCAATAGACGTGGATATAATCCTTGCTGTTTATATTATTTATTGTATTACGAAATGCAAAAATAAATACGTATTGAACATAATGAAACTAGAACAAAGATGTAAAACATATTACTCTAATTCCGAGAGGTGTAACGTTAAACGCATTGGGATCGTCAAGAGTGTAGACCGAAACATCTGCCTCTATTCAAGCGCCTGATAGGTATTTTTGACAATGTAGTAAAGTCAGAAAAACTAGGCTCTGTTTTATGGACATTTTCCACACTTCCGAAGATAATTTTTTCTAACATGATATTGAATTACCACTTTTAATTAGTGTCATCGTAATTTTCGTTTTGTTGGTGTTACGTGACTTTGTGACCCTTGAACATTGGCTGCACACGTAGTTTTAAATGGCCGACTAGAGATTGTGATCGTAAACTTCAGACTTGGCATAAATGGTGTGTGTGGTGTGATGATGGTATGACTGAACTATAAAATTTCCATTATTCCGAATATATTTGGGTTTGGCTGTTTCGATTTAAATAAATTGGTTTAAAGGCCTAGTTTTTCTCACCATGGTGAGCCAATTTCTTTGACCAATTTTTCCTGTGACTAGATAAACCAAGTCCAAACCGTTAAACTAAGCCAAAAATCCAAAACAATATATACATTGGTAGCTGCTAATGAAATGTGCACATGACGAACACAAACACAAATATTCTACAATTTCATTGGTTTTATAATAAATTGATGTGTTTTTATTGGCATCCCTTACAAGAATCAAATCTTTAATACATCCAGTAATTTACGAGTCGTCAGATCTCTGTGATTTGAGGTAATTTGTATTAATTAATGTTATTAGTTCTTTCAGTTTCATTTAAATAATATTTACCGATATTATATTTATCATAAATTAGGTTAACATTGTTACATGATTTTCTACCAGTAATAACTAACTTACTACATTAACAAGTACATACGTTTTCATTAATGAAACAAAGTTTTAAAAATTTCAAGAATCTTTTTTGAATATTTTTACATCATTAGATATTAATGGGATTACGATTGGGAATATTCTAAACACCTTTCATACTTTTGCACCAAGAACACATCAAGTTGACAAATGATGAGTGTGTGACATCCCATAGTTGGCATCCATGCTGAGATAAATAATATATTTGGAACAATGTATATTTTATCCAGGAATATGAACTATTAAATACATGCAATAATGAATTAACAAGTGTGTTATATACAGTCTTGGAGAATTAGAATCCATCAATTATTTTAAACTTTTCCATACCTTCATGACATACAGCGTTTAGCTTCATTAGTCCATAACGAAAAATGACATATTAATGTTTTCACAGCAAAGAAATTATTTAAAACCTCTTAAATTTTACATTAAATCAAACACAATTAAACGCACGTTTCTGTTCATACTTTCAGAATCTCATAGACAGACCTTTACTTGCATTAGAGGACATAATTGTTCTTATACGCCCGCATGAAATGGGGGCATATATTGTCGTCACCTATGTCCGTCGGTCCGTCCGTTCGTCCGTCGGTCTGTGCTTGTAAACACTCTTATATCTAGAAGGCACAATTCTTGACTGATTTTGACGAAACTTGGTATGATTGTTTGTAATCACCCACAGATTAACCTTATTAAAAATCCGAAAAATCGAAAAATATTATAGTATGAGTTATTGCCCTTGTTCTTGAAATGCTCGTACACACTCTAGAAGGCGCAATTCATGACGGATTTCGACGAAACTTGGTGTGAGTGTTTGTAGTCACCCAAGGATGTTCCCTATTGAAAGTCCGAAAAATCGAAAAATAATTAGTTAGAGTTATTGCCCTTGTTCTTGAAAACGCGTTCAATTTTAACTTGTTAACACTCTAGATTGTTCAATTTTTGACAGATTTTTACGAATCTTGCTGCGAGTGTTTAATATTACGCAAAAATGTCTCTATTAAAAATCAGAAGAATCGAGAATATTTAGTATGATTTTTTATTCTTGGTTTTTTTTAAACGCGTTCAATTTTAAGCTTGTAAACACTCTTAAAGGCACAATTCTTGACAGATTTTGACAAAATTTAGTGAATTTGTTCATTAACCCTTGGATGAAAATAAAAAAAATCACAAAATGTTTTATAGGAGTTTTTGAAAAAGATTTTTAATTTTAACACTTAAGGCACGATTCTTGTGGGAAGTTGACAAAACAAATATTATTCAGTATCGCCCCAAAAATACAAAAGCAGTGTATGACTGAAGGTTGAATATTTCATACTGGTGATTGTTACTGTACTGCCAAATATTTTTATTCAATACGTATATTATCTTGCCTGGCAAGCAATCTTCTTAGTTTGATGAAAAGGAATTTGGATCTAAGACTTCCGTTACATAGAGGACAACAATTGATTCTACAACAAATGGAAAATATTCATTTTGCAAAAGTGCACAGAACTATTATTAATCTCATTTTTATACATTTGACATGTGGAATATTTTGGTGTGATATTGAACCTTTCGTTAAAAAGTTAAATGTGTTAAATAAAAACAATATGCATGATATGAATCAGTGGTTTGCTGAGTAAGGTCTCCGTCACACGTCAGTACGTCAAACACATCAATAAACACGTCAGACACGTCAATAAACACGCCAGACACGTCAGTACGTCAAACACGTCAATAAACACGCCAGACACGTCAATAAACACGTCAGACACGTCAGTAAACACGTCAAATACATCAGTAAACACGTCAGACACGTCAATACGTCGATGCTACTTTACAAACTTATGTTTATAAAAACTATTACATCGAAAAACGAAATTTCAAGAAATTTGCAAAACAAATATGTATGATATCAATCAGTGGTCTGCTGATGTAAAATATTAATTAACAGTTATAATAGAAACATCTGTTCAGTGGGAGACTTTGAATTTACCATAAATCAGTTTTCAAATTCAGCATTCAACAGTATATCAACAAGTCTCGATATTGATACGTAAGAATGAAAAACTTCTTTTGTTCCGTATTGTTTTTCTCCGTAATAACTCTTATAGATGCCGGTAAATATTCTTATTTATTATTTAAAAGTTCTACTCTGCTTTGAATTTAAAGTTAAATTGTGCAGATCTGGATGTAATTTAAGTTAGCTTTTTATTTGTTGGAGGAGAACGAGTCACAGGAACTCCGGTTTATTCAAAGCCTTTCTTTACAGGCCTAAACAAATATTCAGATATATTTATCTGTAGAAAGTCAAGTAAATTTTGAGACAATCAATTGTCGAGTGGATGCGAGTTGTCGAGTCTGAAGTATATAATGGAAACGAATAATATAAAAATTCAAATTACAGATTGCTTGACTTTTCCCAATGTAACTAACTCTGAGCTCAATACAGACTGTGGAAATGTAGAGATGGAATGTAAAAAAGGCTTTGAGATGGTACAGGGTATAGAATGTATTGAAGGAGAATGGATATATCAAACACCAATTTGTACAGGTAAGATAATTAATTTTAATACTTGAATTACATTACACATAAACAATATAAGCTTTGTGGACTTACCTAAAGGGATGCCGAGTTGACAAACCAAATCTGCTTCATTGTCAGAGAGGACCATCGAAACTCCTTGCGTTTCTATTGGTATGAGGACAACGATACCAACAAGAAGTTTATGAAATACAGGATGAGGGTATACCTCTTCGGCAACAGCCCATCGCCTAATGTTGCAACCCGAGGTATCAGCAAAGCAGCTCTAAAAGCAAAATCGGAATTTGGCACCCAGAAGCTTCTTCTGAGAGACATTATTTCGGAAACCGTAGATTGGGACACATCGTATACGACGTCTCAGCCTTCAAATAGTACATGTTTTATTAAATATAGAGGACACAGGCCCATTATACAATAAAGTAAATATTAATATACACAATTATACAAACTACATGTGGATACTTAATTCACATTTTCCAAGGCTCAAAGAATTTTGTCCTTTTTTTTCAAAGACAAAAATGTATATTTAGCCAAATTGTACAAGATGGTAGCATTTGTGTTTGACATTGATATATTTAATTTTTGTTGAGATGGGTGTTTATGATAATATTGGGGTATAAGTTCTAACCTTAATTCTTCATAAAAAGGACAGATGAGGATAAAATGATATTCTGATTCGACATATTACACAGAGAGGACAAAACCGTTCGCATCTTGTTAAACCAAGCTGTCTGCCCTTTTCAATCATTAAAGGGTGATTTGAGCACCGTAACTTACATAAGACAATACGATACACACTGACATTGATATCAAGATAGGTTTCTCTATTGACACTTTCTTTAAAGCCTGCATAGAAGTCTAGCTTTGACACTGTTTGGATGTTTTCGTGCCATAACTGATTATCAATATCTCTTTGTTTGAAAATTTTGCTGAATGAATTGTCAACTGTTTGATTGTACCAAACCTCAGCAAACCCGTATGCACTAAGTACATTTTTGATCTTTAGTGCCCAGCAGTTGATGTTCTTTTCAGCCAAATCATACTGATATTGATATATTACAGATAATATTCTATTTTCTTTTTGATTAACTAATCTAATCCAGTATTTGGTTAATCTGTTATACAAGTTAACTGTCACAGAATATCGACCAAGTTCACCCCGGGCAACAATATTTGGGACTGTCTGACTTAAATTGATTAACGACTTAAGGAACCTATCCTGCACTAAATCGATGTCGGGAGCAGGGTGGAATCCCCACACCTCGCTACCGTAAAATAAGATAGGTACAATTTTAGCATCGAAAATATGCAGTTTAGTACGGATTGGCAACTTATAGAAGTTTGGTATTTGTGATTTAAGGATTCTGGCTTAGAGGCTTGTTGGGCCAATGTCTTCTGGGCTTGAAACCAGGAGGTGGAAGATGCCAACTGAACACCTATATATTTGTACGAAGGTACTATTTCTAAAGCAATTCCATCAAGAACAAATTTCTCATATTTCCTCAATTGGCCACCTTTCCGAAAGACTACAATTTTTTTTTGTTACTGTCAATCTCCAATTTTTGCAATATTTTGTCAGTTTATCGAGCCTATTTTGCAATCCTTTAACCGTACTGTCGAAAAGTACAATATCATCGGCAAACAATAATATAAATAGTTATATCGTACTAACATTAATGCACCTTTGATCATCAATGCTCAAATCTGAAACAATGTCATTTATGAAAAATGAAAACAAAAATGGTGATAATTGGCAACATTGTCGTACACCAAATGCAGCTTCAAATATATCGGTGCTACCTAATGAGACTCTTACACAAGCTTTAACATTTTCGTACATATTTCTCAATAATCTAAATGTATAACCCTTAATGTTTCCATTCCACAGTTTGTAAATCAAACTATTCCTGCAAATGGAATCAAAGGCAGATTTAAGGTCAATGAGACCACAATATAGCCTACTATGGCACAAGTTTACAATTTTGTTAATAACAGTGTCTAAGATAACGATATTATCTATAAGCTGAAAGCCAGTTCTAAAACCAGCCTGTTCCTATACTAAAACGTCTTCTCTCTTTGCCCACTGTGTTAGTCTTTCGCACACAACTTTTGCGAATATTTTTCCTGCAACTTCCAAAAGAGTCACCGGGCGATAGTTAGAAGTGTCATTCGGATTACCTGTTTTAAAAATTGGCACAATCACACCTAAAGTCCACTCCACTGGGTATACTCCGGTTCTAAATATTAAATTGAAAAGAAACGTAAGGATATCAACACAAATTAGGGGCGCGTTTTTCAAGGGCTCTATTGGGATACCATCATACCCAGGTGCCTTTCCACTTTTCATACCATGTATTGCATTTTCAATCTCTTCGTGGGTAATTACTGCATCTAAAGGGTCGTCTCCAATACTGGCATTTATGTGATCTTCGCTTATTGAATTCACAAATGTGTCTCACCATAAAATTGTTGAAAGTCGGGAGATTCATCTATACCTTGGAAGTGCTTAATGAAGTGATCTGTCCAACACATGGCAGATATATTGTTTTTAGACATAACTGAGTTCGGTTTGAAGGAACGCCAGAAACGTTTCCAATCTTGTAGTCGCAAAGCTCCTTCAAGACAATCACAAAAAGCATTAAATGCACTATCTGATTTTTGTTTACACAATAGTTCGTAGGAATTTTTAGAGTCAGCTTCCCTATCAGTTGGTGCGTTTGAGATATGGAACTGGCGTAGGTGTCTTCTAGCTTCCAGTCGCGCTTCTTGGCATTCAAGGTCAAACCAATGGTTGTCTCTCGCTTTGTTAGACGTAGGTAATATTTACTTAAAACATCGGTTGTATTAGAGAACTCATTATAAGTACCTGGGCATCAGAACATTGATATATATTGTCTAATTGAGAGCTAAGAGATTCCCAGTTTTGTACGTATTCTTCGCGCTTGTTCACGTCCCAGATTAGCCTATATTTGTGAGAATTGAAGAATTTACTTAAGTTCGATTCCCGTTCCATCTCAATACTAAGCTCGTATGAAATCGGCATGTGTGTGTGTTCTATCTCTGGTAAGATATCAAATTGACAAAAAAGTTCCATAGTTTCCTGTCCACATAATACGTAGTCGACAACACTCTGTCCATTATTTGCGAAGCAGGTTATTTTCCCCAAATCTTTGTCAGATGATAAATGAAGATGATGGTAAATCTCTCTTGATCTACTTAAAGACCATAGAATTTCTCGACCATATATTCCTCAACTGAGCAAATGCACTTCCGAGCTACACGTATTCTCAGATTTAACTGAAAACGCACAAGAGATGTCAAAGCCCACCTTTATTCGTCTTTGAGAAAGTCGCCCAACAAACCAGAACCACCATTCTGAGAAATGAGAATTAGCACACTTTGCCGTCTAACAACTGGACATTCAAATGGGCCGTGTCAAATTCTACACCCACAATTCTCGTATACATAAACAATTCCACTCGGAGATTCTTTATCTACCGGTCAAACGTCAAGAAGATTCTCAAGTTGTTAGATGCTTCGCAGTGACAAAACTCCGCCAGACCTTGCAACAAGGTCAATCCACGCAGAAGAACTTCAGACCAGTGACTGGTTAAACGGACCTGGACAATTATTTAAATCTACCTCACAGGACACGGACACATTAGATCTTGTGATGCCTGATGGAGACTGTGAGGGTCTGCGTCGTAACGACAATAGTCGACTCTTTCAAAGAAACTTTAACTCCACCTGGTCTTGGATCTGCTAGATTAGAACGCTTTCCGACCTTTCCAAGATGGACAAACAAGTTTCCAGAAACAGCCTACTTATTCGTGTGGAACACTAATCGCAATACTCTACGAGTTGGTGTTTGTTAAGGCAATTCTATAGAGAAACTGGATATAATTAAACCCATAGTTTACCTGGAAATAGCCACGTTGCAACCCTACTACGACACTACCATGAGAAGGTAAAGCACCAGGGTCGCCATATCACCGAAGATGCCGTTAGATCAGCGGGGTATTGGATTACTTCCGGCAAACGTTTATTATCCAGTATCATACATAACTGCATTACGTGCAAAAAGCTGAGGAGGGAAATGCAACACCAAATCGTAGATTCACAGGTATCCGCGGTCCAGTCAAGCTCTATCGCTCAGATCAGGGAACGAACTGTGTTGGACCAATCCAGAGACACCTCAGAGAGACTAGAGTGGAATGAAAATTCAATATCTCCATTCGTCCCATATCGGAGGAGCTTGGGAAGGCCTGATTGGCACCACAAGGCGAATTCTTGACGCAATGCTCGTTGAAGCTCAAAGCAGAAAGTTTCTGACTCACAACGTGCTGACCGAGAACTGTGCCATTATCAACTCTAGACTATTAACACCTGTCTCAACAGACCGAGAGAATCCGCGTAAATTGACTCCAGCAATGTTTTTGACACTTTCTCGGACCTTCTGGTCCCAATGGAGCAAGGATTATTTACCGTTACTTCAAACAAAGAGACACTCGACAACCCAGGAGCGGATTTAAGGGAAGGAGACATCGTCCAATTGAAAGAAAACTCTTTTTTTGTGTAAATACTGGATAAAAGGAATTTATTCGTGTAATATTTCATAGATCATGTTATTATTACCATTTTGTTTGTGTGCCAGTATTCTGGATTTACCATGCATATATTATATTGTACCGTAAAGTTGTTCAATATTACGTTTATGTAAACTTAATAGTGATATTCTGAAAATATCAGACGGGGATTGTGTTGAAACATAATTCTGTATTCTATTGTTAATCACACTTGTATCTTTATCATTATTAAATTAACTCGTCATAACGTATGACGAATGGGGGCGTGGTTTGGACACTATGAGTAAATTAGTAATTAGAATTGTATCTTATTGTCAATTTTTGCTTTTGTAGCCTTTTACCACATACACATACAGATACACGCACACAGACGCGCACATGTGCTACTGTACAACGCGATTTAAGTTTGAAACTCAACTTCTTGGTTTTCTCATTTTTACCTTGGCCCGTTGTATCGATCGGTTAAACTAACTGCCGTTCGGGGCAGATTTCCCCTATATATCCTTACCATTTCGTAATTTTCTCACAGATTTACCCTGCAATCTTTTACAGGTCAGAGAATATAGGCTGATAATTGTCCCAACATTTTATACTAGACTATAAAGCGCCCCATTACCCTCGAAATATTTCAAAATTACTCCCAGGTTGAAAACAATTTTGACTTGGGTTGGCCCCTTGAAAATATCAGGCATTTCCAGGAGGGGTCAACAAAGGTCAAACAAGGGCAATATATTCCAATCTTGTCAATATGCATATCAAATTACTATTGGTGCTTATCTTTTACTTTGTTTTCAGCGAAAGATTGTGGAGATATTCCACAAGGTTTTTTATCCTCTGGAAACGCAAGTGATACCACATTCCCAAATATAGCAAAATACACTTGTGATGAAGGACATGAATATTTCAGTGGTAAAACTGAGCTCTCGTGTCTGGCATCAGGACAGTGGGAAACTGATGTACTAGCCTGTCAACGTGAGTATGCCAGTGACAGGATTAGTGTTCCTGTGGAAAAGTATAAAATAAACCAAATACCACAGAACTAGGAGTTTTCCGCAGAAGCTTAAATCTGCCTTGTTAAAACAATCTCAGGTTCTGGTTTCTTTTGTAAGCTACAAGATTGATTTAAAGTCTCAGTTTTGTGTTCACAGACCCAAGAGCACCCGGTTTAAATGGCTAGAAGTGATAGATCCCGATGCCATTGTGTAAGATCTAGTGACACGCTCAGAGCTGTCCACAGTTCTAAAAGCAAACTTGGCTATAGTAGCTCAGAATAGGGAGGTTTATCAGGCTACGGTTTTACAGCTATTGCTTACTTCAACTGTCTGTTTTCAGCTAAAGATTGTGGACTTCCTCCACCTGGAATTTCATCAACGGTAACTGTTAATGGTGGTACAACATTTCCCAACACTGCCTCCTACAATTGTGATGACGGACATTATATTGATGGTGGAAAAATTGAAATATCATGTCTGGCATCAGGGAAATGGGAAACCGATGTTCTAGTTTGTGAAGGTAAGTATGCAGCAGTTTTGTCATTAAATAAACTACCTATACACAATTATCAATATCATTTCAAATCTTGACTACTGAACTAGTGAATGTGTTGGAAAATGGGTGAAAATTTGAAAACTTATTTGAAAGTTTTAACTGAACAAAATCAGGCCGTTGTTTTTTAACACCGCAACTATCGAAATTTTAGCCTTCAACTCCACGTGTGTCCAGAATTATCCGCATTTGAATTTTAAAAAGACGACTCGTCATTTCTTGAGACTCTGCCATATAAAGGAAAGATATAATAATATAGAAATAGAAAGTGAAATTCCTAGTTTGAGATATTATTTTAGAGATTATTGTACATTCCTGATACTTCTCAAGACTACATATTAACCAATTTGTGAACGTGAGTTGATTCAGTTGCATCAGCTATTTTATAGATAGAAAAACGATCTCAATTACAGCTATTTGTATTGATGTCGTACTATTTACTGATAGAATTCAATTTAAACTATTTATATAGTCATCTCAATATTTACTTTACCAGTTGATAGAGTCCAATATCAGCTATTTATATAGTCATCTCAATATTTACTTTACCAGTTGATAGAGATCAATATCAGCTATTTGTATAGTCATCTCAATATTTACTTTACCAGTTGATGGAGACCAATATCAGCTATATGTACAGTCATCTCAATATTTACTTTACCAGTTAATAGAGCCCAATATCAGCTATATGTACAGTCATCTCAATATTTACTTTACCAGTTGATGGAGACCAATATCAGCTATATGTACAGTCATCTCAATATTTACTTTACCAGTTAATAGAGCCCAATATCAGCTATATGTATAGTCATCTCAATATTTACTTTACCAGTTGATGGAGACCAATATCAGCTATATGTACAGTCATCTCAATATTTACTTTACCAGTTAATAGAGCCCAATATTAGCTATATGTACAGTCATCTCAATATTTACTTTACCAGTTGATAGAGACCAATATCAGCTATTTGTATAGTCATTTCAATATTTACTTTACCAGTTGATAGAGCTCAATATCCGCTATTTGTATAGTCATCTCAATATTTACTTTACCAGTTGATAGAGACCAATATCAGCTATTTGTATATTCATCTCAATATTTACTTTACCAGTTGATAGAGACCAATATCAGCTATTTGTATAGTCATCTCAATATTTACTTTACCAGTTGATAGAGACCAATATCAGCTATATGTACAGTCATCTCAATATTTACTTTACCAGTTAATAGAGAACAATATCAGCTATTTGTATAGTCATCTCAATATTGCAATTCCCATCGATACTCTTGATCGATTTTATATATTGTTCGTTCTTCGCAATTAAACCTCAGGTATAAAAAAAGTCCAGGCTTATTATTATATTCTACTTCTATTTCAGCTAAAGATTGTGGAGCTGTTCCACCAGGTAATTTTTCTACAGGAACTGCAGCAAGTGGTACAACATACCCAAACAAAGCAGACTATACTTGTAATGAAGGACATGAAGAAGCAAGTGGTGATTTCAGTATTAAATGTCTAGCATCAGGCCAGTGGGATGTTGCTAATATTTTAGTTTGTCAAGGTAAGTATATAGTCAATCTCTTTCTTGCTAGAATATTATCATTTAATTAAAACAAATTTAGAGATATGGTTTGTATACATTTTGACACAAAATATGTCAGAAGACACCAAATCAGTTCTATATTTTTAAATAGGCCCTTCAACAGAGCTGTCGCATCTTGAAGACAGCTGTTGTCCCTCCATTAAGTACGTCTTTCCCCTATTTGTAGCTCAGTCTCATTGATAAGATACCGCCACTGGAGCAAGGTAAGTGACACCATATACCCAAAATAAGATTAGGCAAGTTTAACAAGGCTATATACATTCTTCATTTCTTGAGACTCTGTCATATATAGGAAAGATATAATAATATAGAAATAGAAAGTGAAATTCCTAGTTTGAGATATTATTTTAGAGATTATTGTACATTCCTAGTACTTCTCAAGACTACATATTAACCAATTTGTGAACGTGAGTTGATTCAGTTGCATCAGCTATTTTATAGATAGAAAAAACGATCTCAATTACAGCTATATGTACAGTCATCTCAATATTTACTTTACCAGTTAATAGAGCCCAATGTCAGCTATATGTACAGTCATCTCAATATTTACTTTACCAGTTGATAGAGACCAATATCAGCTATTTGTATATTCATCTCAATATTTACTTTACCAGTTGATAGAGACCAATATCAGCTATTTGTATATTCATCTCAATATTTACTTTACCAGTTGATAGAGACCAATATCAGCTATTTGTATATTCATCTCAATATTTACTTTACTAGTTGATAGAGACCAATATCAGTTATTTGTATAGTCATCTCAATATTTACTTTACCAGTTGATGGAGACCAATATCAGCTATATGTACAGTCATCTCAATATTTACTTTACCAGTTAATAGAGCCCAATATCAGCTATATGTACAGTCATCTCAATATTTACTTTACCAGTTGATAGAGACCAATATCAGCTATTTGTATATTCATCTCAATATTTACTTAACCAGTTGATAGAGACCAATATCAGCTATTTGTATAGTCATCTCAATATTGCAATTCCCATCGATATTCTTGATCGATTTTATGTATTGTTCGTTCTTCTCAATTAAACCTCAGGTATAAAAAAAGTCCAGGCTTATTATCATATTCTACTTCTATTTCAGCTAAAGATTGTGGAGCTGTTCCACCAGGTAATTTTTCTACAGGAACTGCAGCAAGTGGTACAACATACCCAAACAAAGCAGAGTATACTTGTAATGAAGGACATGAAGAAGCAAGTGGTGATATCAGTATTAAATGTCTAGCATCAGGCCAGTGGGATGTTGCTAATATACTAGTTTGTCAAGGTAAGTATATAGTCAATCTCATTCTTGCTAGAATATTATCATTTAATTAAAACAAATTTAGAGATATGGTTTGTATACATTTTGACATAAAATATGTCAGAAGACACCAAATCAGTTCTATATTTTTAAATATGCCCTTCAACGGAGCTGTTGCATCTTGAAGACAGCTGTTGTCCCTCCATTAAGTACGTCTGTCCCCTATTTGTAGCTCAGTCTCATTGATAAGATACCGCCACTGGAGCAAGGTAAGTGACACCATATACCCAAAATAAGATTAGGCAAGTTTAACAAGGCTATATACATTCTTCTTGTATCACGAATTGTTTTTCTGATGTCTAAATATCTCCTTGTTTTCAGCGAAAGATTGTGGAGATCTTCCGCCAGGTACTTTATCCACGGGGAAAGGTAATGGTAGAAGCACATTTCCCAACACTGCCAACTACACTTGTGATGAGGGTCATGAACGTGTAAGTGGTAAAACTGAGATCTCGTGTCTGGCATCAGGACAATGGGAAACTGGAGTACTAGTCTGTAAAGGTAAGTATGCCAGTGACTCTTGTCATTCAGAAAAAAGTCTCTACGTTTCAATAGCCAAGAAATAAAAGTTAGTGCTTATTTTTATATTCTACTTCGTTTTCAGCGAAAGATTGTGGAAGAATTCCAATGGGTGATTTTACCTTTGGAAACGGACCTGATACCACATTCCCAAATAAAGCAAAATTCGTTTGTATTTCACAATCTGTGAGTCACAATCTGCTAGTTTTGGTAGAAATGTAAGAACCACTGACGTTTCACTGAAAATTATTATAAATCAATTTGGTGATATTATACACTTAAATGTTTTTAGAAAATCTCTTTACAATCTCTTTAAAACATTTCTAATCTGAAAGACAGTATACACCTAGTTTCCACAGGACCAATTATTCTAATTATTCTAATATTATGTGAAAATTATACTACAGTAAGTGGGAAATATCTGAGGTTGCCCGAATTTCTAACCTAGTCATGAGATTTTTGCCCGAAAAACATATCTTTGGAAGGCGGCTGACCCCTCTCCCCCTACCCCAACCCCCCCTCCCCCCACAACTATTGCTTACTTCATCTGTCTTTTTTCAGCTAAAGATTGTGGACCTCATCCACAAGGTATTTTATCAATGGTAACTGATCTTGAAGTTGGTACCACATATCCCAACATTGCCTCCTACACTTGTAAAGAGGGACATGAACGAGCAAGTGGTCAAACTTCTATCCGGTGTCTGGAATCAGGACAGTGGGAAAGTGATGTACTAGTTTGTGAACGTAAGTATGCAACAGTTTTGTCATTAAATATACTACCTATACACTATGTACTTCTGCCCGCAATTACCTTCGGAATATACGTTAATCATTATCATACATGTAATCATATTTACCATTTAATTATTATCTCTTCTTGATAGCAATTACCATCGATACTCTTGCTGAACTTTGTTACATATTCACTATAGACATATATTGTTCAGTTTTCTACTGAGTTGTAGCCTCAACATTTGCAAAACAAAGCGTTACGAAAACAAAGTCAAATCGAATACAATTTCAACGAAATAATAAAAACCATGGGTGGAAAATGTTGATACCCCTTTGTCTCAGAAAAGATACATACAGGGAATTACGTCACAGTAGGAAATCCTCTTGAAGCTACATTTTAAGTTCGATTGTGAAAATTGCTGGAAATAAAAGGAAAACTGACTATTGAAAAATCAGAATCATTACGCTTATCATATAATTTTACACTTAGTCTTTTTTTTTCATATCCAAATAGGATGCGTAATTTTCGTCATCGGTTGTGTTTTTAATTTTTAATTCACCAGGATATAATTCTGAAATCTAAATATTCACTAAATTTGGGATTATTCAAGGAGAGGACATCATCTATATACCGATACATGAAATTAAAACCAGTGCATGTATTCTGCCTCGTATGTTTATAAAAATAAATCAGTAAATAAAGGCGCGCAATATATTACTTCAACTGTCTTTTTCCAGCTAAAGATTGTGGACCTCTCCCGCAAGGTACTTTATCAACAGGGAGTGTTAATGGTGGTAGCACGTTTTCCTTCACTACCTCCTACGCATGTCACTTTCCCCGACACGTTGGGGTTTACATGCATTAGAAAAAGCCCAAGATCTCTTCAATCTCAGTCTTCCCATTCCATCCACAATTCAACCAAATTAGACACATCAAATTAGGATCGTGCAGGAGGGGTGGGACATTTGCCCCCCCCCCCCCCCTAGAAAATGCACCCCCACTTCAATTCTAACTTCAAAAATTTGTCAAAAGGAACAGAAATTTTTTTCTGCAATTTTCTGATGGAGAAATCTTTCCGATACTCAGTCGGATGCTTTTGTTTTTGCGCTTACAAATATTTAATATCTTTTAATCAAAGATTGTGGAGATCTTGATGCAAATCTCTTCATTACTAGTAGCTCCAACGATGAGACATTTACCAGAAATGCTAATTATTTTTTTCAGCGAAAGATTGTGGAGATCTTCCGCAAGGTACTTTTTCATCAGGGATTGCTAATGGTGGTAGCACGTTTTCTTACACTGCCACCTACACTTGTTATGAGGGCCACCCACCATTAAGTGGTAAGGCTGAGATCTCGTGTCTGGCATCAGGATTGTGGGAAACCGATATACTAAGATGTCATAGTAAGTTTCTCAGTACTTTCAGATCTTCGGAAGTTTCATCTATTTTTATGTGTCAATTTACATTTAAAAACCAACAAATAACAAGGTATTACAGATAATCATATCTTAACATGTCTGACATTGTAGTATTTGCTGGG